CCCGTCGTCCCAAATATAGTCCACCTTCTGACATACTGGGGTTAGGACTTCAACACAGGATATTTGGGGGCACAGCCAGTGATGAAGACGTCAGCGGTGGCTGTAGCACAGGTGATGAGAGGCACAAAATCAGACCAAAAGGAGTCAGGAGATGCTTGCTAGGCAGGGCCTTGAATGCCAGGCCACCCGGTTAGATTTCAACCACTGAGGAAGAAAGCTAAGAAGAGGAAAAGTAAATTCCACTTACTGGGGTAAAGAAGCAGGGAAGGAGATACTTGGGTTGTAATAGGGATATAAATATTGATTATGTTTACAGGATGTTCTCAAGAATTATTAGCCTCTGAGTTCATTTTCTAACATAAATAAAAGAAGATGACCCATTAAGGACTTAAGGTCTATTTATATTATTTTAAGACAGTGTATAGCTCTCTGTAGTCCTGGATACAGTGCAGGAGAGTCATCATACCCTCACAGCAACCTCAAACTCCTGGACTAAAGTGATCCTGTTGCCTCAGCCTCCCTGAGGAGCTGGACTAACAGGCATGCACCATGATGCTCAGCTAATTTTCTATTTTTATAATAGTAGCAGATGAGGTCTTGCTCTTGCCTGGGCTGGTCTCAAACTCCCAAGCTCAAGCGATCCTCGAACCTTGGCCTCCCCAAAGTGCTAGGAATTATAGGCGTGAGCCACCCGCACCGCTACCAAGGTCTATTATTAGACAACAAAATACCTGGACACTAATACAACACATCATCCCCTTTCTCCTCTGAGACCATTTCACCAAACAATCCCTCTTATTTAGGTGAGGAAGTTGAGAGTTAAAGTAGTTTGTCTAAGTTTACTAGTTGAATAAGCAATAAGCCAATGACTATCCTTACTCAAAGCCAGTTGTGAAGAGCTGTGAAAGAAAACACCTTGCCAATCATAAAGAACTTGTTTCTCACACACAACACAGTTATTTGTATGTTTTCTTTTTGTTTTTTTTTTTTTTGAGACAGAGTCTCACTTTGTTGTCCCAGGCTAAGAGTGAAGTGCCGGGCGTCAGCCTAGGCTCAAGCAACCTCCCCCAAACTCCTGGGCTCGAGTGATCCTTATGCCTGCAGCCTCCCCGAGTAGGCTGGATTACAGCATGTGCCACTTATGCCGCGCTAATTTTTTAATATTATACCTATATCAAGTTTGGCCAATTAATTCTTTCTGTTTATAGTAGACACGGGGTCCTCGCTCTTGCTTCAGGCTGGTTTTGAACTCCTGACCGTTGAGCAATCCGCCCCTCGGCCTCCAAGACTAGATTACAGGCGTGAGCCACAGCCCGGCTGTATGTTCTGTATTAAAAAGTAGCACAGTACCAGTAAATTTTATCTTTGCTGTGGAAAAAATAATCAGATGATCAAAACCCAATGTATAAAATATTAATAAATTTATGTGAGTCCACATTGATATAAATAATCAAAATAAATGGGAGAGAAGGGACAAATCTTCCTTAAAGATTTCAAATAATATACAGTAGATACTCTCACCCTCTAGGAGGTGGGTTTTATTCATTCCAGTCCCCTAATCTTTGAGTGCAGTCTGGATTTAGCTACTGCAAAGAGTAGAGATGGAAAGGAAAAAACAGCAGTTCACAGAGAGACACCGACAAACGCCACCTTAACCAGCACTCAAGGCCACATCCCAGTGGTGAGCCCTGGATGCCACGTGCCCCAGTGTGACGGATGAGAAGGGCACTCGCCTTGGGGTATTCTTCCCCAAACCCATAATCCCCATCTAGGACATAATCTCCCAAACTGAGGGACACTTTACGAATACCTGGCCAGTACTGCTCAAGACTGTCAAGGTCATGGGAAAACAAGGAAAGACTGAGAACTGTCACAGAGCAGAGGAGCCAGGAATAGACACGATAAGAATGCAGTGTGGGATCCTGCACTGAATCCTGGAACAGAAAAGCCAATTTCAGTGGGAAAGACTGTGAGGTCTGGCATTTAGTAATAGTAATGTACCAATGGTGAGCTTCTTTTAATTTGACAAATGTATAATACCACATTAATATAAGATGTTAACATTAGTGGAAACTGGTGAGGGACATATAGGAAACTCTCTGGAGTATTTTTGCCACTTTTTTGTATATTCAAAATTAATCCAAAAATAAAATATTTTAACAAATCAGGTGAGGAGCCCTCCTAAACAATAACCGCCTCACCCCATCCTAAAACTTATCTTTAAATTGGGTATGTATCAGTACACATCTTCGTTTTTTCTTGTTTCCCAATACGTTCCTGTGGAAATAGTTTTTCCCTTACATTAAAGTTCATACTGTACATACGGCACTGCAACTTCCTTTTCACTAACAGTATGCCCCAGTGATGTTTCCATGTCAGACTGTGCTCTCCAATACAGTAGCCACTAGCCCAGCATGGGCTGTAAGCACTTGAAAACAGTAGCCTCAAATTGGATGTGCTGTAAATACATACCACATTTAAGAGACCTTAGTATAATACAAAACAAAAAGAATGTAAAGTATCTATAAAATTTTTATATTGGTTATATGTCAAAGTAAAATATTTGGGTATACTGGGCTCAAAATAATTTATATAAAATTAATTAGCTGGGTGCAGGGTCCACCGCCTGTAATCCTATCACTCTGCGGAGCCGAGGCGGGAAAGATCCTTGAGGCCATGAGTTGAGACAGCCTGAGCAAAGTGAGACTTGTCTCTACTAAAAATAGAAAAAATTAGCCAGGTATGGTGGCTGCACACCTGTAGTAACAGCTACTCAGAAGCTGAGGCAGAGAATTGCTGTCAGCCCAGGAGTTTGAAGTTACAAAAGAGCATAACATGACCACCACTGCATCTAGCCTGGTGACAGAGCCAAGACTCTGTCTCAAAAAAAAAAATTAATTCATCTGTTTTTTTTTTTTTTTTTTTTTTTTTTGAGACAGAGTCTCGCTTGTTGCCCAGGCTAGAGTGAGTGCCGTGGCGTTCAGCCTAGCCCACGCAACCTCAAACTCCTGGCTCAAGCAATCCTCTTGCTCAGCCTCCCCGAGTAGCTGGGACTTAGCAGCCATGCCAACCATGGCCTGGCTAAATTTTTTTCTATATTATTATTGGCCAATTAATTTCTTTCTATGTATCAGTAGAGACGGAAGTCTCGCTCTTGCTCAGGCTGGTTTTCGAACTCCTGACCTCGAGCAATCTGCCCCGCCTCGGCCTCCCAGAGGCTAGGATAACAGGCAAGTCGAGCCACCGAGCCGCCCTGCCATCTGTTTTTATAATCTTTAAAAATGTGGCTACTGGAAAATTTAAAAATATACATGTGGTTTGCATTATATATTCTACTGGACAGTGCTGTTATACAGATCTAAAATCATTCTTTTTATCTGCTGCATTGTATTCCACAATCCTGGAATACCTACAATTATTTAAATCATTCTTTTCTAAAGCATTTAATTGCTTCTAAAATTTTGCTATTATTAATACAAACCATGTTGCAGCTAAAACATTTGTACATGTTTGCTCTAGAGAAATAGATAGTATAGAAGTATTTGTCTAGAGCAGGGGCTGGCAAATTCAGGCCCATGGACCAAATGCAGCCCACTGCCTGTTTTGTAAATCAAGTTTAACTGGAACACAGCCACACTCATTCATTTACATATTATGCACAGCTGCTTTGGTACTACAACAGCAGAGTGGAGTAGTTGTGACAGAGACCAATATCCCAACCAGAAGTCTAAAATATTTACCAAATCCTGCTGCTTTTCAAAAAAAAGTTTTCTACCCGCGTGCTCTAAGAGTTGCTACCAACAACTAGAAGAGCTGTGTCACAGGTCCAGTTCCCTGGAAAGTAGACTCTGAGATGGAGATCAGCATGCAAGAGGTTTACCAGGGATTGCTCTTGGGAATGGGAAGGGAAAAGAAGCTGCAGGGCTGGGCAGAGATAAACTGGGTCCAGAATGTCAGGTACAGAAGGAATAGCCGGCTTCATGGGAAGCTCTGAAGCTGGGATGGCCCTCAAAGTTGTGCTGAGTCGGGGCTGTGGGGCCAGCCTTTATACCCTTTAATTGACCTGTCCCTGGAAAGGCCATGTCCTCCCCAGGTGAAGGTAACTCTCTCCAGCTGAGGGCTGCTGGCTGCGAGCTCGCCCGGAGCTGAGGGAA